CAGCGGATGCAAATTGCTGCTTACATAGCCTGTCATGTTAGGCAGATGGAAGATTTTCTCAATTGCCTGTGAATGTTCTCACTTCTGCAGACCCATTGAAAATACAGGCGAAAGGGTGCAGTGAAAATTAGTTGTGACATTGTGCTCTGAAGCCTCAGCTTAACTAAGAGCTTAATGCTCTTTAGAAGGAATTACTGATTGCAGCTTATACTGGGAAGCAGTTTTTAATGTTTTAAAGCAGGGTCCCTTCCTAGTATATTTTTTAAAAAGTTGGCATTAACCCTTCGTGCTTGGATTCTCTTTATCCCTTACCTTAAAGACAAATATTTGTGCTTACTGTTGTGATTCTACAAAGCATGACAGAATGTCTTTGATTCTGCAGAGGACATGTGGAAATGCTACATCACTTTCTGCTTAGAGAGATGTAACAGGAAAACCAACAGTGAAGAATTAAAGCAAAAGGTAAAAGGTCATTAAGAGATCATAGTACCAAAACAACCCTGTTTTTACAGGCTTTTGTTCTCTTTCAGACAAGGAGTTAATGTTTGAATGTTTTATCAGAAATAGTGACAAGTAACTCTTAAAAATCACTCAGTCTCTGTCTGAGGGAAGGCGTCTTACCATTAGACACATGTGGGCTGCCTGAACGTGGATACCTCAGGCACAGATCAGCCTTGTCAGTGAAGTGCTATGAGCTCCTTGTATGGAAGTTGAGTGCAAACTTGTAGTTGTTCTATGTGGCTTGGTTCCCTTTTACTACATTGCTATGTTGTTCCTTTGCTCCTCAAAGAAGAGGTGTAATTCAAGTGCTCAAATTCCACCTTTATCTTGTAAATAATAGGAGTATGTAAAACATCAGGTTTATAAATTTTATTGGATTTCAGTAACATTTTGATATACAAATCCACTGGGTTTCTGGTAATGCTAGGATCTTGTTTTTGAAGGAATAATGCTTATTTTCCTCACTTTTTGTTCTAGAGGCTGGAGAGGACACTGAATGTGTTCAGCAAAGCCCATGAGTCCAGTTTGCTGCCAGAAGCTCTCTATAAGCAGTGGGTAAGAGTTGGTTCAGAAAAATAGATTGGTGGACTGTCCTGCATTGATGCATGCCTACCTTTGCCATTTTGTGTAATTAACAAAGTGGGCATTATTGTATCCAAGGTGCTTTTAACAAAACACTGCACATTTCTTGTGCTATCTGCTGTTTTTTAGCTTCAGCTGTTACTGAAGTCCAGCCTTTCTCAGAAGGCTGCAGAGGTGGCAGAAGCTGCAACTCAGCGTTTCAGCCTGTCAGTGGAAATGTGGCAGATGAGGCTGCAGGTGCTGATCCAGCTGAGGAGTGACAACGTGACCCAGTGTTTTGAAGAAGCCCTCAAGCATGTGAAATCTAAGGTTTGTGCTGGTTTTATGGACTCGCATGCATGCATCAGGTGGAAAATCTCTGCTACTTACGTGAAGGATTTTTTTCCTTCATAGTGCACTTAGATTCCCTGGCTGCTATTTAGGTCTATTTCACTTTCAGGAGCACTGAGGAATTACAAGTTGTTTGTGCGTGGGGTTTCTTCTTACTTCAAGCTTTAAATGATTTACATGCTTTTTTGCTGTTCCATTTCAAACTGGGCTACAAGGAATGACAGAGGAAGCAAGAAGCTGATTTGTTCCTTCTCCTCCCTGTTCTTTTAAGTTATCTCTGTATTTCAGTACTGATGAACAAGAATTTTTCTCTCATTCCTGGCAACATATCTAGCAGCAGTCCATCTAAGTAGTATTTGTTGTATGAATTAGAAAGGAGACAAGAAGGGATTTCAGTCTGCAGTTTAAAGTTCTTTTTAAGAGCTGTGTCTTAAGGATAGTTTTCACAGAAGCAGTAATGTAGAACTTGATAATTTCCTTGCTGTCTCTGAAAATCACTCTGAGTTGCTCTATTTCAATCGTTTGACTTCTGTGTTTATCTTGTAGGGCACTTTACCATTGTGGGCCCTCTGGGTGGAGTGGAGTGAAGTCGCAAATAGCAAGGAAGACACAGAAGCTCTCTACCAGGTACTTGGCTAACAAAAATCTTCATAAGGTGATGTTTAAGTAAACAGGAGCTGTGTGTGCAGATGGAGTAGCTGCAGTACAAAGCTTTTGCTGCATACTTCAATGGATGTGTTGGTATCAGAGCATTCCAAGTAAAGCTGTTTTCAAAAGTCAGCTGTACAGAAATGCTATGGAATATTGAAGGAGACATGTTTTAGATTACAACTAACATTGACTTTATTACAGAATGCTGTTTTTTCAGACATTATTTAGAATGCTTTTGTTAATACTTTCTCACACAAGGCCCCATGAGTGTCAGGTGTCTGGTGAGAGAGAAGATGCTGCTTCATCCTTCTTGTAACCTTTTAATTGTAGCTTATGTAGTTTTTGGTTTGTTTTAAACTTGCAGAGGTGCTTACATGCCATAGCTCCTGCTGAATCTGTGACTATGAAAGAAAAGTATCTTGACTGGGCTTACAGGAATGGTGGATATAAGAAAGTAAGAAAAGTCTTTACCAGGTAACAAGAAAACCACTTTAAATCTGATTATTCTAGGGCAAATAGCAAAGAAAAAATGGCATAAAGTTTGAAGTTATTTCTATTTTTACTTTAGCCTGCATGAAAGTCGTCCACTTTCACTTGACTTCTTCAGGAAGATGATTGAAATAGAAAAGGAACAAGTAAGTTGCTGAATATCTAATTACTGCCTTGTATTTGTAAAATACACTTCTAACTTTGATATGAAGTTAAAGGCTTGTGAGCAGTGTCTTTTGTAATCAATATTTACCTTCTGATGTTGATTCATAGTATACGATATAAAAGCAAGTTTCATAGTAACTAATCTTTGGCAATGCGTGTGTGTGTATTACCATGACTTTCACTTTTGTCAGAATGTAATCAAGCTGCAGACTCACTTCTGTACAAAATGAATGGCCTTTTAATAACCTTCTTGTGTTAGGAATCGTGCAAAATGCTTCATCTGAGAGAATACTACGAACGTGCTTTGAGAGAGTTTGGTTCAGCGGATTCTGGTAAGGAGATTTTCTTCTCCCTCCCCAGTTCAGTGCTACCTCTTTTATTTCTATTTGGGGGTGAGGGGCAGTAGCTGTTTGTTCTGCTGTTAGATTGCTATCATGCAGAGTGGAGCTCAAATCTTCGGTGCATGACACTCTGCAGTGAGCCCACACTTTTCAATCCGGGGCCTTTGTTCACAGTAGGATAGCTTCAGCAGAACTACCAGCAAATAGTAGTTTTGACACTGGCAGGCATAGGAGATGCTCGTCACCTTTCATTTACATTTGTGAACAGTATGGAGCCATGTTTTTATAATAGAAAATAAATAGCTCAATTTCTCTGATGGCATGGGAAGCTACTGCTGAAGAGCTGCATTGTTTCTTAAGATACCAGTTTCCAGCTGGGAGCAGAACCCAGGCTTTTGAACTTCAAGGGAGCAGGAGGAAGAGGTTTGATCAGCTAAACCACATTGCACTAAGATGAAGAACACTTAGAAAAAGAGGGTTTCTAGGTTAGGTTTAGTATGTTTACTAAATATTCAATCAAAATCTAACCAGAATGTTTTTCCTTTAAAGATCTCTGGCTGGAATATATCAAGGAGGAGCTGAGTCATCCCCAGGGCAAACCAGAAAACTCTGGGAGTATTCACTGGCGAGCTATGAAGATGTTAGAGGGAGATCAGGTGGAAGACTTCATTTCCAAATACACTTTACTGCAAACTGGACACTTATGAAAAACTAAAAATAATTACAGCACGACATTGTGGATTTTTAAAACAAAACTTGTGTAGAAAGGTAAATATGTTTTGTGATATTAAAGTGCATTTTCTTTACTGCATGTGTGAAAAGAATTCTGTCTCAGCACAGCTGTTACTGGTGCTTCTGTCAGTGTCAGGTTCGTGTGCACAGCTGGAGATGGCAGAGGCATCTCTGAGCTTTCCTCCAGCCTGTGCGTTGAGATAGAAGTTGCAATGCATCAGCTTTTACACTGGCAAACTAACACTGCAACACATACATACAAAATAAACCATTGTAACCCTAGGGGGAGTTCTTAACATCAAGTTCAGTAAGGAAAAAATGGAACACTGGATAAACAATCTGTAAAATGATGGTATTTATTTGTTTCTTAACCTTGAAGTCATCTATCATCCTCTTTTTTCAAAAGCCAAACAACTTGTACAGCCACCTTGTCTCCTCCTAAGTAATTCTGAGTGACTGTGCACAGTGCAGGCGAGCAGAGCTCTGTCGCAGATGTTCTTGCTGTGACGGGTAAGCTCCGATCTGTGCTTCAACCTTCTCGTGGATCTCTGCTCACAGAGCACCTGCAGCTCCATCCCACCAGCATGCATGTGCTTTTGCTGTGCTCTGCCTTCCTGCTTCCTTCTGCCGATTGGACAGAACCCCAGGGAGCAGGGGCAGGTATCGATCCTCGTTTTACAGCTGCGTGGATCCTCCTTACACTCTGATTTATCCGCTTGTTTCTGCTTTTTTTTTCTTCCCCCCTCTCTCCCCTTATCAATGACTGGAAAAGCTTTCCAGTAGCAGTGAAAGAAGCTACGTATCACGTATTCAAAGGCAGTTAACAGTGAGCGCGGTGTCTGCGCAGATAAGGCACGCAACCGGTTGCCACGTGCCAGCCGTACAGCGGGACGAGCCGCCGCTCCGTGGCAGCCGCCGATCCGCCTCCGTCAGCGGGCGCAGCTCTGAGGCGCGAGGGGCCGAGCAGGGCGGGCACGCGCCTGACGCGCGGGGACAGAACTCCGCTCGCGGCCGCTGCCTCCGCGCTGCCCGGCCGCCGCGGTGGGATCCTGCGGGGCGGGGAGCGGAGTAGGGCCGGCTCGTTTCTACCGTGCGGGGAGAGGAAGAAGAGGAGGAGGAGGAGCCGCCGGCGCGGAGCTGCCCGACGTACGCCGCGTTCTGTCCGCGTTGCGCGTTCCGGCCCCGTGCAGCAGGCGCGTGCCCGGGGCTGCGCGGGCAGCCTGTCGTGCAGAGAAGTTATCTGTGCCTCAGTTGTCTCTGAGGATAACTTCTGTTTTCTTTGCTCTTCCTCCAGGGACCATCAGAGCCTTTGAGGTGTTAGCTCTTGCTGTGTGTCCTCCATCTTTGTCCGGTTCCTTAGGGCAGCTGGCAGCTCTGGTCCCGCTGTTTCTTAGCACAGCACCTCGCACGAGGTGGACAGCCCGTAACCGTTGGTCTTTATACACACACAGCTGCTGCTTATGCCTTCATTACCTTTGCTGCCTTTTCTGGTTGCTGTACCACACGGGTGCGTTCTAGGAGCTGTTCCCAAAATTTGGTGTGCGTGAGCTGCCCCGTGCTGCCAGGTGTGAGAAAGATCCTCCCTAAGGCTGTCTGATTCATTAAGAGAACCAACAGATGGTACCGAGGGCTCCACAACACCAACAGCACTGCAGGAGCCTTGCTGGAGGAGTCTGGGAGAGGAGTAACTGAGTTCTCTGAAACTGCTTTGTAGGTGATGGCTGCCACCCTGGAGCACAGAGGCTCTGAGGAGGAGCAGCCTCCTAACAAAAAGGAAACTATGACCTGGAAACCCAGAGATGTTAAGCCTAAAATATTAGGGCAAACTAAAGCAGATGGTAAGTAACAGAACTCCTGTTCAGGGAAATGTTCTCAGAAGCTGCAAAGGAAATCTTAGTTACTGTGCTAGATAATTTGTACTTAGATATTCGTGTATGCCTATGTACAGGAGTGTAGGGGAGCTGCTAGGTCCTGGCTTATACTGGTGATTGAGCACCTGGTGAAATCTGGCCCAGGGAGCACAGGCACATTGCTTACACCTGTGCTCCCCGTGTGACCAGAAGGGCTGGACCCAGGGTGCAGCCCCCCATGGACTCTTATGGGGGCCAGCCTCAAACAGGAAAGCTTCTTTTGGACCTTGGCTGCTTGCTGCGGGGTTGTGCTGTATGGCCAGAGGGCCCTTTCACCACTTGGGTGAGTTCTGTTCTTTCTGTGAATGGCTGTTGCTCTTCCTGTGAATTCATTGCCTGGAATCATTGAGCACTTGTTGGAAGAAGTTTTGTTTCTTCGTAAGTGGAACAGAGAGTATTTAATCAATGCCACAAAAAGGAAGTCAGAGCTGTAGTTTTTCAGCATACATAAATAAAAGCAGGAAAAACCCCAAGATAAACAAGATACAAGTGCAAAGAAGGTCTGCTAGCTCCTGTGCTCTGATTTAAAGCGCAATATTCCAACAAGAGTCCACAAAAAATCCTTACTTGGGCTAATGCTGTGACATAGGGCTGCATCTGATCTTGCCAAGCACCTGAAACCCGAAGCAGCGCATGGAACAGGATCTAATTACATTAGTAGTTACAAACGATGTTAACACACTTAACTGCATTATTCAGTTGCAGGCGTTTAATTGTTCCTGTTTAATTTCTAATGATCTCTTGGCTCTTTCTGTTATTTTTAGAATGTTTGCTGAAGAATGCCCTGTGTGTTCTTGATAGTGACTCTGAAGGAAGTGAATTCTCTGATGTCTCTGCATGTGAAGATGCTGTCAGTCTGCATACAAACACTGACGTGGAGGACTTGTGTGGTGAACTCTCTCGTATGTCTGAGGATGCAACTTTCGCTCAGCAGCCAGCTGCTTTGACATATGAGATGGAGGACTGGGATAAAGAGTTGGAGGAGTCTGAACGTAGTCCTTATGGTAAGTACGAATTTATTTGTGATTCATTTGAGTTTTGGTTGGCATGAGGATGGTAGATGCTCTATAGAACACATCTAAAAATTTCCGTGTTCTGTTTTGGGGATTTTTTTGTTTGTTTACCTCATGGGTTTGTCATGGACAATTTGGTTGCCAAATACAGGGCTTACAGGCAGTGTTGTGAAGTTTGTGTGTAACTCCTGCTTGAGCAATTCTTGAGAAGTGGAATAGTTCACTTCTGCAGTGAAGCTCAATATGCATAGACAGTCCTTCTCACTATTCCAAGGATTGTCTGTACGTATTGAGCTCCACCTCAGAAATTAATACTCTACTAAAATGCATCTATGTTAATCTGGAACAGAGGGGAGATTTGGAAAATGTTCCTTTTCTCCAGGAATTCAGCCATAGTGTCTCTCAAGAGCTGGACTTTCTGAGTGTGAAGCGATGCAAACACTCAGTCTCTGCTCTAAATATGATTTGTTGTTACTTCTGCTGTAGAGATTTTCTTTGTTATGTGGCAGAGTGCTTTTTTTGGTTGTTGGTTTGCTTGCTTGTTTGGTTTAATTCCATGAATGGCTCTTTTATTTTTGTTCTCCACTTCCGTAAGCTGGTAGCAGGAGGAGCTGCAGCCTTCTTGTGAGATTGTTCTGATTTTAAAGTGAAAATAGAGCAGTGGCTTTTTATGCTGGGTAACCGTAGATAAGGGCTGGAAGTGCATACACTGTGCTTCCAGTGTCTGCTGACTAGAAATATTCTGCTTCTGTGTAAAGAGTTAACCAACTTGGCATAAAAATAGGGTAAATTAACTGGTTTATTACACTTAATTCTAGACTAATGGAGGTACTGTTGTGAGCTGGCTTTTACAGGACTCCACCCTTTGTCCTCATCCAGTGACACAGCCTTTAGGAGACTCTGTGCTCCTTAATTTGGAATGTGGTTATGGAGAGAACAGGAAAAAGTAGGGAAAATAAGCATGATAGCTTTATGAGCCTTCTGTGCCCGAGGAGAAGAATTGCATGCGTGTGTATGCTGGTGTCAGACGTACTGGATTCAAGTACATCACTGCATTTTTCAGATAACTGTTTTGTCTCTGTGTCAGGAACTTACTCTAAATGAAGATTTTGCCAATCTCAGCTGTTTGCTTTGTTGGTAGATTTAAGTGCTGGTAGATCAGACTGAGACTCTTGACTGGAAGATGCTGCGGAACTGCAAGATGCTCTGCCACTGGCTTTCTGAATATCTTTTGTGATATTTTCTTTGATCTTTAGATGCTGGTGATCTCTACTGCGGAAGCTTTCAGGAAAATAATCTTTTGGCCTCATACTCATTTCGAGAGGATTCACTGTACAACCCGTGCTGTCACCATGCAGCTTGCCTTGCTTTTCCCCTGCCCGTTAGAATGACTGAGGTTGGCCAGTTTGATGATGCTGATGAATGAGGTCAGAACTGAGTTTGGTTTCTGAGTTGGATTATTCTTCACTGAGTTGCAGGTGCCAGCTGTAAGCTGCTAGCGCACTTGTGGACTATTTTCTGTTTGTGTTACATAGAACTGTGTTGCTGATTCATTGTTTGGGAGGAAGTAATTCCTAATCTTACCTTGATTGCAAAGTGTTGCCAGTTTTGGCATGTTTGGTACTTGCATGTCTGGACACTTAACCTGTAATTTTCTTTCATTTGTTATGGAATCGGTCTTAAAAACTCTTCCTCCTTCCAACTTCTCTGTTGTACTTCTGTGTTGCAGTTTGTATCTCCATGTTACTCATGACAAAATTAGATGTGACAGTACAAAATGAGTTCTTCTGGTTTGACGTGTTTCAATACAAAGGAATTTGCAAAATGTCTTCATGTATGTAACACACCTGTAGGCATATATTTGGGATTTTGTTTCCTACAGAGATGCTGGGTGTTTGTCAGCCTCCCAGGAAAGGTTTCTGCACATCAGACCTTGTGCTCAGATGTATTATCTTCCAGTCTCCAGTAGTCTGATGTTGTGTGAGGATGTTTTAAAGACATGTAATGACAAAGAAAATATGCTTATCTGATCCTCAGTGCGTCCTGCAAACAGCAGTGAATTGAGATTCATGGTATTACTGATACTTGTTATTTCTGTGTTGATAAATGAGGAAATGAGAACACAAAATACTTCCATAAAGTTCCCAAGAGAATAGCTGGAACTGGAACTGTATTCTTTTTGCCTGTGCTTTGGAATTAAAGGAAATGTTCTCAAATGAAGAATGGAAGTGGATTGTATGACTGACTTCTTACAAAAACAGTCTCTTGTTGCTCATATTTCTTCAATCACTTCTCAAGAATGTTTTGATGGCTTTTTTGACACTGCCCCATGCTGAAGCACTGCACTCTTGTTTATTCTCAGGCAAGGACTTAACACAATTGGAAGACTTTTTTTTAACCTATCTGGTGTATGAGACTAACTTATGTATTAGCATGGGAGGAGGAATTGAGCTGGAGTAACATTTGTTTAATGTTTTCTTTGAGAGCAGAGGAAAACGAGCTCAGGTGAGTCTGGTTTTTTTCTGTTACATGGGAGTCCCAGTTAGATCTGAGTATGAGGTGAAGAACCAAAGTAAAGAAGCAGAAGCTGGCTGGTGATTCTGTGGCTGAGGGCCTGTTCTTTTGTTCCAGTATGATGGAGTCCTCCAAAAGGTCATATTTCTGCCAAGACTTAATTCAGCATGCCTCCAGAACGCATGCATACACAGAAGCATAGCCTGACAGTTTGTTCTTCCCTTGAGCAGAAAGAAAGCCCTAGCTGTGCTATAGCACTGGGGGTATTTTTCTTTTGTGGGCTGCTGTGTGATCAGCTGCTTGTTGAGAGGAGTTCTGCATTAGCTGGAACAAATGCGTGCCTAGGTTTGGATACGTAGTGAGTTTTTCTAACCTGAACAAGAAGAATAAAACTCTAAGTGTGGCTGTGACTCATTCAACTCAATATCAATAAATATGAGTCAAGCACAGATTAGTAAGGTAAGTATATACCAGTAAATTGTGAAAGTTCATTTTGTTATCCTTTTTGTCAGTTTCCCAGGTCTCAGCTGCAGATGTTAATGCCACCCTGCAGAGGGCAGCAAAAAATGGTTTATTCTGTTCAGTGTTTTTATCTGGTATGGAGTTTCACCAGCAAGTGTCAGATCCTTAGGCTGGGTTTCTAAGCCCCGTTATCCCATTAATCAGTGAGACTGATTAATGGCCCTAATTAGCTTCTGATTTTCTGTTTTGCTCTGAAGTTATACTTAGTAGATGGAAAATTTCTCCCATGGCTGAGAAAACGGCATCACTTGACTGGCTTTGTATTTACTATGCTTGTGAATCCCATCAGAATTAATCAAGATGAGGCCAACAGAATTCTGTGGAAGCAAAGCCACCTTCCTCAGAGTTGGCTTAAAGGGGATCACCAAGAAGTTGTTATTAACATAGATTAGGTTGGTTTTAATTCCTGTATGATTCTAAAATTTTACCTTTAATTGGAGTCAGCCTCATCCTTCTGGACTGTCATTATTCGAGAAGAAATTGGTTGTCCTGAATGGCTGCCCTGCTAAGCTGTGTTTTAATTGATTGTAAACTTGAAAGGAAAACTGAAACAGATATTTTAGGTTAAAGCCGATTTCACTTCTATGGGCCTTGCTTGTTAGGGAAATGACTTAATGTAAGGTTTGATCTGAATGCTCTCAAACTTCAGTGGGATTAGAAAAACAGATGCAGACTTCTCAGAAAGCATCTCCCTGGAAGGATTTAAAACCAAGCTCATGGATTCCAGTGTTTCTGCACTACAGTGTTTCAGCTGCCGTTGTGCATCTTGCACCGAGTCTGTTTGGTGTTGACACAAGCATGCCATGCTGTACAAGAATATTTGGCAATTAAAACCAACGTAAAATGACATTTGAACCAACAGTTCAAACTAAGAGCATCGACCCTTCAGTCTGCTCATGTTTTTGTAGGTAAAAACGTTCCATTGCAGGATGTGCAAGGAACACATTGACAGTACATAGATCTATTTGAAAATTATTTGAAAATCAGATTTCTAAATTGAATGTGCATATATTTTTAAGTAACTTCAGGGATAATGGTGGTAGATTGGAACTTTGCACAGTACTTTACATTCCTAGCCTGGATGGGCAGCTACTGAAAGCCGGTGCGATTGGAATCCAATTCATATTGAGGCATTTGGCACGACTTCATACTGAACTGCTGGTGTCTCAGGGTGAATTCTCTGCAAGGAAGCAGAGACTGAGCTCCAGAAGTCTCTTTGTTTTTTTTTTTTGTTTGTTTTTCTCTGTCGAAGAGAAGCATGCTGAGTTTTTGGTCCAGATGTTACGTACCACTAAAAGGACAGTAGCAGAAGACTTGAGAACCACTTGTGCTCCAAAATGGCACCTTTTGTGAAGGCAAAAGGGTAACAAGGAATGCCTGCAGTTTATGCTGTGCAGACATGTTACTTTTTTCTGCTTAAAGCCAGAGAATTTTCTGTGGTTTCACTTGCTGTGTTTGTTGCATCTTACTAAATTGTGCTGGACCTCATATAAAAAGCTATCTGATTTTTGCATTGCAATTTAGAACGTGGTTTAAAACTTGCCTAGGAAAAGGGAGGAGGGTGTAGGAGTGAAACTAATATAGCTTCTATTTTAAACTTGTAATGGCTACTTGTCATAGGGATCCCTTTGGTCATGTGGCCTAAGCCTCAGTCCTTCAGGATGCAGCCACACAATTCTTGTGGCAAAACAAAATCTTCCTTGGGAGCTTTGTAAATCTTACAAGCTTCAGATGCAAATTAAAGCTATAAATACAGAATTAAAAATATAAATGTGAAAATGTGATGCAAAATATACCTGGAGGGCCCCCCAGCTTGAAGAAACTCAGTGGAAGGGGAGAATAGGCCTGGTGCTGAATTTCAAACCACAGCCAATGCATCAGTGTGCAGGGGTTGGGTCCTTAAGGAAGCAAATGTGAGCGTTTATCACAGCATGCAACTTTCTGGGCATGGGGCTGGGCTGGAGGAGGGAGACAGTGAGATGATGTTTGGTTCTTAGAGGTGTTTTTGTATTCTGCTACTTTCAAGGAAGAGTCAATAAATCAGGGACGCATCGTGCTGGTAGGGAAGAACATACAAATGAAGATTGCAGGTTTGGTTTCAATTGCAGCTCATTATGTCACAGTCTGAAACTGGACAAGCAGTAATCTGAAATGAATGCACAGCAGTGGGGCCTGTGAATGCTGCAGCGCTAATTCAGAAGTCATTGCTGCTCTCTGGTCTGGTGTCAGTACTGGATTTGTTAGCACAGTAATTCCCTTTGCTCTCGATGCTGTGTTTAACAGCACTGTGCATTCTATGTTCTTCTAACCAGCTGCCACTTTCCTGGTTGGAGTCACTTTTTACCTTCTAGTTTGATTAGTTCTTGCTTGTGGATATTAAAATCAAAACATGCAAGATCTGACGGATCTGTTTTTCACAGGGCTTTCTATCACGTTTAAGATTTGTTGTGATTGAGAGCAATTTGAAATTGCTGTTTATTTTCAAGCTTTTTGCAGAGTTATTTGTGGGAGGAATGCAGTTTATTTTTCAGTGCTGGGGCATGTCTCCATGCCTGAATGCTTAATCCAGCTCACTAATAATAAACAACACGTTTCTTACTGCTCAGCAGCCTTATCTTCTACAGTCAATTTGAGAAAGTCTTTTGCAGGTGTCTTGATGAAGATATTCTGCCATGGCTCATTGCTGGTTTTACTCACTAATATTCTGCCCATACAGCAAATAGTTTTGCGGTAATGTGGATATTGAACAGCATTTGGAAGACAAAATATTTCAACTACTCTTAACAGTATTTGAGTTAGTCACTGCAGACTGCTGCCTGTAAAATAAATAACTGTGGACGCCTTTTTTAAGAAGAAAAAAGTTGTCAAGGGCAATAATAGCAGAAGCTGAAACCACTTGGCGAATTTTCTTTGTCAAGACTGATGTGAAAATGATGTTTGAAAGGTAGCTGTTGAAGAGTGCTTCAGAGTTCACTGCCAGTAAACAGGAATAGCTTCATGTACTGAAAAGCCTGGATCTGCTGGAAAAACGCCTTGAATGCTGGCCTGTGATTTACCAAATTTACTGTCTGTTAAAATTTACAGTGGAATTTATGTTGCTATGGTTACCAAAGCTTCTCTAGTTCCAGAATGGCAGTGTATCTCATTTAAAAAAGAGAATCTTTGTTTTTCCTCTCCTTTCACTGTAATCAAATTGAACTTTTTAAAAAAATGGTTTTAATTTGCATGACTTGGTAGAACTTGTTGCCATGAGGAATCTGAAAAGCCAGAAATACAGTTGTTGCCAAGACGTATGCTTGTGTTTTACAGGACTTTTGAATTAAATCTCATTAGATCTAATAGATCTGTACTGTAGGGCAGAGTTGGCCCTTGGCTGGGAAGAAACGTGCAACTCACGCGGCCCACCGAGTGCGTATTAACTTTGAACTGTAACTGCTGCGGGTCTCTTTTGTGTGCGACTAAGCGCATGCATGTCTGTGTTCATCAGCCAGTTGGCCGCTGTGCCCTTGTGCTTGTGTGACTAGCAAATGAAGAAGTTAAGAAGGAATGGCTGCTATGGTGCGGAAATGCCATTATTATTTTGTTGGGGCTTGTTTCCTCTGCAGCTACAGGTACTGCCGCAGTCATCGCGATGGCCAATTGCTGCAGAGCGTTCACAAATCTATTGGAAAACAAAACTTGTTGTTTTTAATGTGAAGGAGTGGACGTAAGCCCACTGCTGAGATCCTGTTTGACAGTTCCTGTGCAGCTTTCCTTCTAGAGCTCAACAAACAACAGTATTAGCAAGGTTATAAAAACAGTACCACATGAAGCAGAGGAAATAAAACCAAAGCATTTTGCTCTGTCATCTGGCTTCCAGGAGCAGTGCCTCTGCCCAGCAAAGGCCAAAGATCGAGTGCTTCTGACACAGTTTGCTTCTGACAGGGATTGTTCCTTTTATATTGAGAACAGAAGTTGCACTTAGGTGTTTCCTTACGTGTCCTCTGAGGTTATTATGCAAAGATGGCTCTTTTACTGGGCCGTACCTGTTCTGACTTTTTTTTTTTTAAGATGTACATTTGTGTTTGTATAAATAAGAATTGGAGGGGAAAATGTTTGCTGAATTAAGTTTATATGCTTTACAGCTGCAAAGCTTTCTCCTTCAAGA